GGTTAACCCACAAAAAATTGAAAAGAAATTGAAAGATAAGTGACCAGACAAGAATTTCATTTGTATTTCAGAAATCTCAGGGATGTTGGTGTGCATGCTATTGGGCCCTGAACGGTGCTGATTTTACAGTGTTTTCAATGGGGCTTGAATTAGTGGACTGGACCCTATTATCTGCAAATAGCTTTGTCTGAAGACCGCCCTCTTGTGATGACTATTGCCCAGTCGTCTGGTTCTCGTGTCTACCTAGTATTATCTATATAGGGAAGATCGGTTACCGTACCTATGTTTTAGTAAAACGAATTTGCCGAAAATCGTAACAAAAAGATGTAGAAGTCATGGAAGCGATGAACAAAATTTAATTGCAATCTGCCGGTTTTCAATATTAACTATTTTCTGACTAAGGTAATTCAGATAAAGCTGTGCATCTTCATTCTGGAAGGTAAAAAACAACACTAAGCTTGTAATAAATTGAATAATGGATTAAAAAAATTCTTAAGTTGTACATCTGTACATGTACTACTGATGTAGGTCTAGTCTACGTTCTTGGGGATTGTAAATTTGGGGACCCTGTTCCTATAGTAGAAGAGAGAGCTACATTTGAACTTTTGAATTCACCTCGGTAGATGACTATGATATCATGTTCAATAACGACAGGGGTGATATTTTGAAAAAGAAGGCAGGGTTTTGAGGGAAATTATGAGCTGATGAGGGAAAACTCTGAGTGTTTTAACACATGACACATACTCCAGGCCTAAGCCTTATGGTTATCGCGAATACTGCATGGGTGATTTTGCACAGTGGTTGAGAGGCATTGTGGGAAGGAAAAAGGGGCAATGTTTGCTCCTTTTTCCTTCCCACAATGCTTTTCTACCATTGTGTGAAATCACCCATGCAGTATTTGCGATAAGGCTTATGGTGGATTCAAATTTGCAATATCAGTCGTGTCAGTAACAAAGTCATATTTTCTCACAATTGACAATTTGAAATTTCAAAAAAATAGGGTCTGCGAAATAAAGAAAATGTTGCCCCTTTTTTAGGGGGGGGGACTTACCAGTTTTGGAATATTAAAATGACAAAAAACTGGGGGTCCCTAAGTATACAATCTCCACATTCTTGTTCCTCCATGGTCACATTATTTCCAGAACAAATTCTACCTCCATGGTCACAGTCATGATGGTGACACAGTCTGGGTAGATGAACCGTGGAGGAAGGAACAAGGAAGACAAGAACATGATATTAAACGCAGGCCCGTACAGCCTGACATGACACTGTGCATACTGTGCAGTTTATCTACGAGGCAATTGTCCATTATACAGTGCCGGCCTGTCAGTCATGTCAGTAGTCAGCCCAAATCTAACAACATGGCCAAGCACTTATAATGATATTTGAGGTCCAGTACAGCCGTTACGGTAGTGTCATGACAGGTGTAATATTTTGAACATGGTATGTATTGGCATGGAGTACTTCCAGAACCGTAAGGTTGATACAAATCTTACAGGTTGTAACGAAAAGTAGTCATATATGACATGGTGGCGGTTTGTATGTAATTTCAATGTTGTTACACTGACTTTTCCCGTATGATTTCATGAGGACTCCCGGGATACATTTTTCTATTGGCCTTGGAGGTTCATTTACATTATACCATTTAAAATGGTGAAATTTGTGAGAATTTTCCTTACCCACACCCGTGCCTACGACTGCCTACCTTGCTCACGTGATCACGTCAGTTGAAAGGTCATTGTTGCCTGCAGTGTGGCAGCTTCACCAATTAGAATGTGGCTCCTATCTCTTTCTATTCAGTTTCTATTCGCTCTTGAATGAAAGAAAAATTTCTATTGGTTTAATGGTGTGCTGATGACGTTCACCATCTACAGCTCGTCTCTTATTTCCTACTTCATGTGGACGGGACGTTTCATTGGACAACACATTACAACTGGAACAGTCGTCGAAGTAGTGGAAGTGCGTTCACAAGGAAAGGGTGTGCGGTGGCCTCAACATGACCAAAAATATGTTTGTCGGAACACTCTTTCCTAGCAAAAAGAAAGAGATGGGAGCCACATTGTAATTGGTGAAGCTGCCACACTGCTGCCAACGATGACCTTTCAACTGACATGACTGACCTCATGAAATTATAGGGGAAAAATCGGTATAACGGCATTGAAATTTCATACAAACTGAAGTAGCACCATGTCAGATATGACTATTTTTCGATATCATCTGTAAGGTTTGTATAAACCTTACAGTTCTAGAAATAGGTATGGAGATCCCAACAGCAACCAGGAGCCCTCAGAATTTAAAAGGAAATTGCGTTTTTCATCCACGTCATATGTAAACATGGTAAAACCTATGTTTAACAGTAAGTGCCTGTAATAGCGTAGGACTAGGCCTAATTATGTCAAAGACTAAGTAGGCCTACTCCTTGAACTTGATCTTTACTTTGGATGATGTATCTAGTGAGCCTGTGGCTGTTTTGAAGTTGAAATCTGATGTTTTTTGTTGAGATTCTAATTATCTGTAAAGCTGCTTCCGTTACTTTGCTTGGACCTTACTATTGCTGGATCATGCCCAAATGGCACACATGAGAGCTCAGAGACTGTCCTTCAACTCAAGAGAAGTCCCTGTGTTTGGAGACAAAACCAGTCCCCTCAAAGAGAGAATATCTCCTTAAAAGGGGACTTTTTCCAAGTGGACTTGAATCCAAAAGCCCACATGCTACATGAATAATCAAGTTTTTCCCCCATGTTTTTCGTTTATATAAGTTATATACATGTCTGTTTTACAAACTTTTTACCATGTCATTTGATACTGTTGGAAAGGATTGATATTCAGGTAGAAATTGTTTTGATGAGGTCTTTTTCCCATGCTTTATTGTAGGTATTGAAGAATTAGAATTAGTTTTTGAAATGGCAGCCTAGGGTGTTTTTTCTGCTGAATCCAGTTATGGCATTAAAATGATCCTCAGGGCAATAGTAGGATCCCCCAAACCCAATTAAAAAATAGTCCCAGTTTTGGGAGACATTCTCTCTTTCGAGGGATTGATTTTGTCCCATAATAAAGGGACTTCTCTGAGTTTCAGGACAACTTACTCAGACTACATGTACATGTATTGTAAGAAGTTGAAAATTTGAGTGGAACCCTAAATATAAGGGTATCCTAATGCCTGAAGTAAGGATTTCCTGGAAATTTTGTGATTAGAGCCGGTCCAAAGTGCATGTCTTTATTATCCACCTTCACCTGATCACAGACCTCAATTGGAGCATGGCACTGCTCACCAGGTCAGCAACCCTACCCCAAAAAACACACTAGATATCATGCACATTCGGGAAGCATAACATGACTAGGCTAACCTTTACCTGTAGCCTTAAATTTGACGTTCACATTTTTAAAGAAACCGAATTTGTGTGCTTTTTCCCAGAATGGATCTTGGTGACAGTAGCTCAAGTCATACCCTCATACCCCCATCAACGGGCTCATCTGGTCTCTTCAACTACTCGGGGTTTGAGGACGATGTCACCAAAGACTCATCACATCTATCTGTGGATGCTAGGTAGGAGGTTGACATCATGGGTCAATTGTGATTAGGTGGAGTCAGGACGATGGAAATGGGGGGGGGGTTGTTTAGTGGTAGACTAGTTTTGCTCATTATGCTTAAAATGCATGTCTGACAAAATTCATCTCATGGTCCCTTAAAGGTAAAAATCAACAGATATTTCAGGATTTTGAAGTTGCATTCTTTCAAGAATCAATGTCCCCATGCAATTTCTTGTTTTAGCGGCTTCCCTTCTAGTAACGGAGCTAACATGACTACGAGTCTCAGCCAATCCATGACCAACCCTGAGATTATCACAGATATCTCACAAGGTAAGGTTGACTTCAGCAGATGAAATTTCAGTTGTGTCAATCTTGAAGTCTGTCTTATCTCTCACCCACATGGTCTGTGATTGCTGACATAAGCATGTGGTTGAAACAATGTATTGGCAAAAAGCAAAACTTGATGCAGAAAAAAACGGCTTTGAGGTGAAGATTTGTACACAACAGACAGTATGTTATACTTATAATTGAAGATAAGAGCGAATTCAGCTTAAATAGTAAACAGATGTACAATTCCTGCAAAGTTTTGCATCATCTCAGTGGTAAAGGTTGTTTGTTTCTGTAGAATCTAAATTACTGCTCTGTGAGTATGTTGACACTTGATCAATATTACCCACTGTCAGTTACTTTAGTTTTATTATTATTTGAATGTAGTCGAGATCCTTCAGCAGGACACTTCTCAAGATGTTCCAGATGTTAATAAGGAAGAGGTACGTATATCTCATTTTCTTAAAGAATCTCACTCAGTGTTTTAATCAGGTGAAACCCTCAACATTTTTCACCCAAATAATGTTCATTTTTGTCCAGGTGCCAAACTTAGTGATACATGAAAAAGAGTGTAGGCCCCTAGTTTTTCTTTTTGATAATAACTAGAACAAAAGTACTTAATTTTGGCCCTACTAATCATTTTGTGGGATGTGTTCACATGATCGCAAGTTTGCTGCTACACTTCTATGTAAGAGGTTTCTTTCCTCTTCAAAGTTTATAAGACATGGTGGGTTCCTTGGAATTCCTGAGGTGTGACCATTCATCATTTCATTGATCAATTCAACACAATTTAGTAGGATTCTCAAGTGTTTAAAAGCACAGTCAGCAAGTGCAAAGCAGTAAATCTCAAACTGGTTTCTGTCATTGTTGGACTAGGCTACTCTCAATCCTAATGCAAAGGAGATGTTTTCATCAAGAATTCAAGGATTGTTGTCCCTACGGTCATTTTAGAAATACCAGTCACATTTGTAGAAATTTGTCATGATTTCCTGTCATCTAGTTTTTCTTGTATTCTTATATGAAAAGGGGGTTTTAATGGTGATGTGTGTGTTTTCAGCCTACAAAGAGCAAAGCCGGCTGGACCAAGGGAAAGAAACGACGTAGGCTGAAGGACGTAAATGCTCCCCGGGCGCCGCTGACTGGCTACGTACGCTTCCTGAATGACCGACGTGATAAGGCCAGGGCCGACAACCCCAACATGTCGTTTGCCGAGATCACACGCATGTTGGGCAAAGAATGGACAACGTTGTCACAGAGCGAGAAACAGGTAAAAATTACAGAATTTAATCTTGAAGTTAAAGGTTAATGATCATGATCTGGTGTATCGATCTGATCAGCAATTTCGCAAATTGTGTCTTGGAGTCCAGCCAAGGGGGTTGTGTTGGCTGAGAGGGTCATGGGGTTTGATCTTTGTAATACCTAATATCAGTGCAGAGGTAATGGGATTGTTGTCTAGAGGTAATATCTTTTGGGACATAGTTTCATGTTTGCATTGAGCTCGTGAAAGAAATAACCATTTTGTTATCAGACTGGGGTAAGTTTGGGTAATGACTATAGTACACTGCCCAAATGATGGATGGTTTGGACTATCTAGTTGACCATTTGGGGACCAGGTTTCAGTGCTTGGTCGCACCACAGGTTATCAAGTAAGAATTTCATTTATTATTACAGAGGGAACCATTCACATTGAAATAATTGTATGAGATTTTAGTGACCATGAACGCTGCGAGAATTGCAGCCAACAGTGAAATTCTGAGTTACTATGAAAGTTAAAAATTGACCCACTAGGGTGATTTGAGTGTAACTGAACTGCACATGTGCATTGTTAAAATGCATGTGACTACTGGTCGAACTATAGTTCATGCCCAAACTTGCCCTCAGATGTCAGTATTTCATTGGGGATACTTGTGTGCACTGCAGACCTCCCTGGAAGATATGATTAGACATCCAGGCAAGAACTAAAGATGACATATTTTTGCAAAGCAGTGTAATTCAGATGTCTCTTTGATGGGGCACACTGCACATATGTGTACGCACGCTTACCTGTTTTACATACAAAGTGGGCACATTCCTTTGTTCTCCTGTGGTTAAGGAAACTTGAGGAAAATGCTCCTTTTTCTCCAACTAGGATAACTCCTTCAGGCTGGAGTTTTGATGATGATTTCCTGGACTGTTCCTCTTCATTTTGCCACGGATAAACTCGACCCTAAATTGCCTCAGAAACTGTTTTTTAGAGAGGGGGAAACATTGTGTGGACGTGTGCAAGTCCACACAATGCCATCGCACCATACATTATGTAGATTTCTTTTGTGCAGAGGTCCACACTATGTATGGCACGCCTGCACACAGGCTCATGCAAGTGTGAAGAGATAACATAGAGCATGTGCAGATAGGGGGAATGTGTGGTCTTTGTGTGTGCGCCAGGTGCACAGGAATGATTCCACACAGGGCGTTTCCATTCTGACTAGAAGTACTTTCCTCCCTACTGACAAAGACTAGACAGGATGGTAGAAACTATTTCAACTTGGAGACAACACATTCTTTGCCAAATGCTCATGAACCTGTGAATGTGTGTTTTCCCACAAAAGGGAAGCCATCCCTATTTGAAAACATACGATTTCTTGTTCCAGTACAGAGCAGATTGAGCATAGACAATAACGTGTAAGTTCAAGCAACAACCATTGGTCAACCACTGGTCAATTGTACCTGGTGCCCAGAATGTATTTTGTGCATGGGTTACCAGGGAGAATTGGCAAATAGATAACAAGTGATTGTCACCTAATCCTCTTTTTTTTTGGTAGCGTTATCTGGACGAAGCAGACCGCGACAAGGAGAGATACGTGAAGGAGTTGGACCAATACCAACAGACGGAAGCCTACAGAGTCTTCACCAAGAAACAACAAGAGAGAAAGAAGAAAGGAGAGGCGGGGGAAGAGGGTGAGACACAGACCAACGGAACCGGACTAGAGGTTAGACTGGATACCTGTCCATTGGTTATTTGTGTTCATAGCTTGCTCGATTGTATTGCTGCTGTGGGCAGCGATAAGCCACAAGTATTTATGCAACACTTACAAGATTTAAGACTGCACAGCTGAATAAGTATATGTTAGTTGGTGCCATATCAAATTTGGAGGTCTGTAAATTTGAGTCCTTACCTTCTTCATTGTGGACTTCCAGCCTCCCAAGGTGTCAATGTCCTGCTCACTTCAGCTACATGTAGTATCAATAAGTCCTTGTTTTGGAGAGACAGAATTTCGCGTAATGCTTTGTGCATGGGAGATTGGCTGTCATACTGTATCACTCTTTTTGTCACCGTTGATGAGATAATAGGGTACTGGATACATACTTTTTGTTAGATTTGCCGAAATTAAGCAAAGCCGTTAGAATGGGGTACATATGTGGGTAAATCCCTCATGAGATCAGAAAGATTTCTGGACATGATGTGCAGTGCTCAGATTGCTTGAAAATTGAAGAACCTTGCCTTAGTTGCAGCTGAATTATGTTGCCAGAATTTAGGAAAGTAATTTACAGTTTTTTGGTATGACTGTACCAAAACGAAGGTCATGCTGTGTGTTAATTTCTTTACAAACTGTAAATTTGTTAACATGGTATAAACGGCATGCGTACAGCAAAGTTGCCATTTACCCTGCCAACAGTACACAGATGAGGTGAGGATGGATGATGAGTTACCAGGGTTTGATGTTCCCATCTTCACGGAAGAATTCCTCAACTACAACAAATGTAAGTTGTCACTGAGTAGGCTAGACAAAGACTGGACTCTACTTCAGTGGCTGTTGACAGGGGTGTGAAATCTCTGCTTTTTAGCCGATTTCTGCTTTTTGTTTAAAATGCCGAATGTAATGTTCCACTTTTTTGCTGTCAACGGGCCAGATTTCCTCATTTTTCTTCTGTACATGTGAACGTACACTGTACTTGCGTACATTGTATACAGATCTGTGTGCTGGCCTATATTCAGCATGAAACAATCCTCATGTGTAAACAGCATCCGCCGACCATCCGGTCAGTGTTGTGATTGGCTGCCAATGAAATATCAATATTCATACATGTGTCAGTGGGACTCATTGCAGCCGTTCCTGCATGAGCGGTAGTAGTGACTAACCAGCTCCACTATAACTCGTGGTAGCATACATTTCATTATGACTTTGTGGCTTGAAGTAAGGTTAGCAAATTTTCACTTTCGCTGATAGAGGGCTTCGTGACAACTGGTGCGGGCGCTCAAAGTTCTTCTTGTATCATGCATTCTTGCACAGTTTGCATCATTTTGTACGGGCTTTCAAACAATTTTTGGACATACACTCACCAAATATCAGTGCAACACATATGTACAATTGTCCAAAGAGGTTCTGACTTGGATACAGCCTTTGATAAGACTGATCCTCAAGTTACAAACCCGTGGAAATGGACCATGGACATGACAGGCAGGCAACACAACACAGTCCGCACCGGGAGAGTCCAAACACCTGGACATCCGATCGACCATGGATGTGACATGCGATTTACATGATGTACACACGCGGTGTGCACTATGTCAAGAACTAACATTTTGGAAACATGCTCAGATCAGGTGGGAAAAGGGCCAACTCAACAAACCTTGGTAGTTGCAATTTTGGTAGACCTATTACTAGTTCATTTGGAAAGAGTTCCATATACAGACAACACTTCATGTCTCTGTGCACAAACCTGAGACTTTTCTGACCAAAAAAGAACCTGTTTTCTAAGTAAATGCCTCAGAATTTTCTTGGCTATTTTTCACTTTTACGACATGTTTTCACTTTCTGATGACTGTTATAATATTTCAAGGGAATATTAGTGTTGTTTGTTTATGAACTCTTTCCATTCATTTGCCCTCTTCAGGAATTTCATACAAATATGAAAAAAAAGTAAAATTAAAAAGATGCAAGAAAGAAATGATCAACACCAGGAAGCTGTAAAATGTACCACAGAGCATCCACATTTCAATATTTTCCTGGGCCCTCAAGTTGGCCCTGGACCCCACGCCATACATGTACATGCTTCGTGCTGAGGATTTCAGTCATCTCTTTTTGATTCCTTTCACACCCCTGTGTTGAATAAATACATGTGGCTACTGGGTATTACTGTTCGCAGTGTTATTGCTAGTCACAGGTATGTTCACAGGATTGGTCATGAAGTAGTGTAGTGAACACTTGTCATTGTTCATTTCAATAACTTGTGACTTGACTCAAAAGTCGAGTTCGGGCGTCCTGTTCTTGACACGGGTTTCTTGTCGTTGTGCTCGAATGGTGGGAACACGACTCAAGAACACTGTTCTCGGAACAGGATCACACACCACCTCCTCGTCAGGGTTTTACAGGAACACATGGAAAAACTCGTGAGATTTAGATTTTTGAACAGCTGCAAAAGTAGATAGAAGGCTTCCAAAGCCATAGGAAATGGGAGGTTTTGCAAAATTAACATTAATTATTTTTCGGAACACAGAAATGAATGTTCCTGTTTAAACAGAAAAGAATTAAGCCCAGTTATCCAAACATCGATTCTCGAAATAACGTACATGGACGACGCCATGTTGCATGTAGCTTTTCACTAACTACCAGCGATAACCGGTTGTTTTTTCCCGGCATTTGAGCGACTGACCTACGAACAACAAATTGAGCTGTTCGTGAACATACAGGAACAAGCCACCCGAACTCAGCCAAACCAGATGACTTTTGATGGACTTGACTTTGATGCTGGCTGTTTGTGATCATTTTTACTTTATTCAGCTCGAGAAAACGAGTTGCGTCAGCTGCGCAAATCCACAACGGAGTATGAGGAACAGAACGCCATCCTACAGAAACACATTGACAACATGAAGGCAGCAATTGCCAAGCTAGAGACAGAAGCCACGCAGCAGCGCAACACCAACCTAACGCTGCAGCAACACCTACAAGCTCTGCGAGTCTCTCTCACCACTAGCTTTGCTGCAGTTCCCCTCCCTGGTAAGCCAGCCTACTTGTAGTAGCTGGATTTCATTGTGCATTTCCCCTTTTTCAAATCCATCCTTTTTGGGAAGCCCCATCTACCTGTTATTATCAAACTAGCAATTGAAGTCAGAGTTTCTGTCCGATACATAATTGGATCAGAGGTTTTGACTCAGGTTTACAATACCACAAGTGTTGGCCCACACAGTCAGCTTGTGGCTTCAGACATTGCTCATAGACATGTGTCATAATCAAGTCCTAGCCCAGGATTTGGGACACTTGGTGTAGATTCAAGCAGCCCCTAATTGGTAGTTCTGTCAGGGCTAGCTGAGTTCAAGTACAGGAAGATGACGCCCAGAGTTATATCAGAGTTAGGTCTTATCCTTTGTTTTATTTAGGCACGGAGGAGACGCCTACCTTGGCTACCATCGACACGTACATGAACAAGCTACATCAGTTGATTCTAGACTCACCCCAGGAAAATGCCAACCTCATTGCCACTGTCAGGGAAATTGTAGGAAAACTGGATCTTCAGAGGTGGGTAACTAATTAGGTACACAACAGGAATCAGGGAAATGGGAAATCAGGTTGGTGTAGGTTTAAATCTCATCTAAGCCAACACATGGATTGAGTTTTCAAAACCCAACCTGATGCTGTGGGTTCCCTCCAAAATGCTTTCCTGGGATGTTCTTTCCACCTCTACAACTGAGCACATCTTCACTGCCTTCATAGAACAGTTCACACATAACTGATAGGGTTACCCTCCTAAAATGAAACAAATGATAATAGGTAAGATTTGAAGTTTTGCATGGTGGATGAAACATGAGAAATGGGTTTGCGGGCATACCATGGAATCAATCTCTTTTGGATGAGGTGTGGTTCTTAAAAGAACCAGTGAGTATAAACTCAACGTTTGTAACCAGCTATCCACTTCAGTCTGGCGCACTCTCCTGAGGATGGCCAGAGCACACTGGCAGAAACGTCAAGTTTATACTCACCGGTTCATTTAAGAACCACACCTCGTCCAAAAGAGATTGATTCCATGGCGTACCCGTAAACCTATTTCTCAAATGATAATAGGATGAAGAAACTAGCAGGCAGGTGGTTATTGAATATGCAGCCATCAACCCAACCTTTTGAGATCTTTTGAAATCCAACAGGAAGTTTAGGATGACTGAGGAACATTACAGAGCCCTACTCCCCTTCAAAGTCCAAGTATAAAGAATGTGGTATTAGGTTCTTGCACAAATCTGATCACAGTTCTGAAAGGTAGAGCTGGAGATAATGACTGTGTCTGTGACAGCCAGTGGCTAACAGCTGATGCTATTTCTCATAAATATGTGCGTTACTCTCAGCCATATCCAGTTTAGTACTGTACTCTCAAAGAACTCCTGGCTTGCAGTTCTTTTGTTTGACTAATTTCTTATTTTACTGCCAGGAATTCTGTATCATTAGACTCAAGAAGTTTATTTAATTTTGGAAGGTGTGGATGCTTTGATTTTCAGCCTGCAGATCTTTCATTCTGCAAAAACTGGATTAAATTGTAAGAGCTTAAAGTTTTGGGGAAGATAATCTCAACTTGACTGACAATAATTTTTCATAAGAGTTGAATAATTTTCACTTTAAAGAATGTGCTTCTTGTTCCATGTTTTCCAAGATCTTGTGGGAAAGTGAAAAAAAATACCTTGATTGTGTGCTTCTTGGAATCGATCCAATCCCTCGTCAGTAATTCTGCAACAGGTGATCAATTTGAGATCAGCACAGTGCGCTTGTGGGGTCTTCCTCATTGAGGACAGACCCATGTTCCTCTGTGATATGCATGAGTAGACCCTCTGTACTTTGACTGTCACTGAATTCAAATAACAAATACTGCCCTCAAGAGGGGGCACTGTGCAAGGTCTCTATCGGGCACTCCCCACTGATCACCACCCATTGTCATAGGCTAAGATTGCGGCTTCTGGCAGAGTATAAGGAAAACATGGAGCGGCCATCCAGTGTTGGATTGGGACAGTAACAACTGTACCTGACTTCAGTAATGACCATTTCAAAGTTAGTTTGTGTGGAAAAGAAGCTTTAGTTGTAGTGTCCAGTTTACAATGTACAACATGGGTGCTAACCAACTGCTTGGCAGTGGTAATGATGGCAACATGGGTGCTAACCAAATGCTTGGCAGTGGTAATGATGGCTGATCTTTGGAAACTGTATCGTCACATGTTACTTTGATGTTGTTTGATTGGAGCTTTTTAACAGGTAATGAAGATTATAGTGTCTTGGATTGGTTGAAGTTTGCTAGCTTTAAGTTTTGAAGTACCCTTCTCCATTTCTTTGCTGCAGTGATCCTAAGTTATGACCTGGAGATGACACCTGGCACAGAGAGCGCTTGACATCAGGGTAATCAACGCCTTGTTACGTCAGTTCTTCTGATGGTTGTGACTGGAGTAAATTGCATTGAACCACGTAAAGACCAGCAGTAACGTTATACAAATGATTGTAGACAAACTAGGCTAAACAAATAATTGTAGACCAACTAGGCCCACCGTTGAAGCACATTTCAACATTTCATGCATATTCATGTATGAAGACTTCATTTCAATCAATATTTTGAACTTAACTTGACCTCATATATACTTTCTGCCCAAAATGTTTGTAAACAGATCAGATTGTTTGTTAGCATGGATTGTGTGCTAAACAGACCTGTGAAGTCAGTTTTTGACTTATAGATTCTTCAAAGCAACCTTATACCTGTAGTCTGTGTAGTCATCATTGTTTAAGACAGTGGGCCAAGCCTGAACCACCAATGCTGGTAGGATATTCTTACTTATAGTACATGTACATGTCTAGCATGTACATGTATCAGCCGGTCAGTATTCAGAAAATATGCATACAATAGCTGTCAAAATAAAATATCCTTACACATCACTAATGTAGAATTAGAAATTTACTTAGCAAACCTAAGGATCAGGTCCTACTTTACAAAAATGTAAAGAGTGAAGCAAATTTGATATCACAGATGTTTGCTGCCAACTTTGCTTAATTTGTTATGTGTCTAACATTTGTGAATTTTGCAGCATGAATACTTCATCTGACGTCACTAAATCACATATGCGTTTGCTTTCTTGCCAAACATAAACCAGCCATCAAATAATGAATAGTTCTAACACCGCCCCAAAACAATTAAAAGAATTTCTCTTTTTGACAATCATTTGAGTAGTTGGCTACCTGTGTATCAAACCTTGACTACTTCCCTGGTATCGGGAGACTAACCCTGCTCATGCAATGTGTAAGTAACTCCAGCCAAATTCTGAGATGAAGAGGCAATTACATTGGTGCGATATTCCCGTGATATTGACCTTCAGTTGCTGATGTTGTATATAGTTGTACATGTACACTGTTCGTACTATTTAATGAAGTACCTGTTTTTGTTGCATGGGGTCCTGTGTACATAGTAGCAGGTGCCAGCACTAAATGTTTGTTTTAGAAGCAGGTGTTTTTTAAATGTTTAATAGTTTAATTTGATCTTGTTTTACAGTATGCATGTCTTGTATTGGTTCTGGCTTTTTGTGACTGGAAAGTGTGAAATACAGTCAGATTTGTTAACATCAGAGTTACAATTTTCTTGAAAAAGGTAATCACTTGGAACATTTGATTTCATATGTTATAATAAAAGTCAGATCACTAATTTTTGTTGGAGTCACATAAAATTGGTTGGTCCTGTTGGATCTGATTTTTCCAAGGTTTACCTTTTGTCTCATCCTTTGATAAAGGCTTCTATCAGGGATGCCAGTTTGTCAGTTTTCAGGCAAGTCTGATTCAGGCTTTCTCGTGTACAATGTTGGACTAATTTTATACGTTAACAAAGTATATTATATTTAGGGCTTCTCTGGTCCTCTTTTTAGGCTCTGGATAAGAACTTGACGGGCATCTCTGTTCTGTGTGAATCGCAGCTTGGTAGCTGTGAAGTTATGAGTATTATTGTCATTGATGTTTGAGCAGGGATATTCATGCACAGTAAATATTGACTTTGATTCACTTGAACTCTAAAGAAGCCACCCTTTCAATGGGGGGGGTGTCAAAGTTGGGATTGTAGTATACCATGTCTTTGTAAAACTTGGCATGCATACGGAGACATTCATTATGAGTGTAGCTGTTCAGAATAGGGCTTTCTTGAGGTCATTTATAATTCGGAGGTGCTGCACTGAACATGCTACAATGAGAAAAGGTAACATTTTGAGCAAGCCTGTCTCACAAATGGGCCTTTTGTGAGGATAGTAGGTCCAATTTTCATGACATTGATTTGAAATGATTGTAAGATATTTCAAAAACTTGTGAAGACTTGGCACAAAGAAATTTGCTTTGAATATATTGGAAAAAATGTCGGGGATATTGAAAACCTTACGGCTTTTTTAAAGATTAAGTATGCCGGAAACAGTTGTAGGATTTATCAGCAGAAATGTCTGTGCCTAGTGACACAAAATAAGACCCCAGATTAACATTAACAGAGTGCATATTTAACAAGGTCAATGGTATCAGGTTAATTCAGTGCACTGATGCTATTGATAGAAGAAAGACTTCATTGCTGCAACACGCATGGAGATCAGGACTTGCAGTGCCTTTGTACTGAGTGAAGCCACTGGCGGCCATTTTACTGTGCCAAATACAAAGGCAATGGTAGGCTCACTTGCCATTATAACTGTTGATGCTTCAAAACGAATTGGGATATTGGCGAGCAGACCATTGTATTACCTTCATATTGGGCACAGTAAGATGGCCGCTGGTGGCTTCAGTGATGTGTACTGATTAAGGGCATTGCGTGTCATGGTTATTTAAATGAAATCCATGGCAACACCTTGCAGCCCACCTGGCATTTACTTGTGTTCTGGAATGCCCATATTGTTCAGACAGGCTCTTCAGAACAGGTTCAAAGTTACTTTCATTGCTTATGTGTTTCCAGGAGGAAGATTGTTTTACTTGGTTTTGCATCACCACCTGCACATGTAGTTTCAATCTTAATGCTTGTAAGCAGGGCCCAATTTCGTGGTTCTATGCTTACGATCTCCATTCTGTGCCAACCGCGTAAGCAAAAAATTCTGCGCTAACCCTTTAAGTACAGAATCCTTAGTTGTGGGATGTACGCATATGCACAAGCCAAAATTCCTCACTAACTCATGAAACATGTTTGCCGTAAGCACAGAATTTTCTATGGTACGCGATGATTTTTCCCTTACGGTAAGCAGCACAGTGAAATTGGGCCCAGATATAAAGCCGATACAAGAGATAACACTAAAGGGTCTTTGGGGTTGGATGGACCTCGGCTTTTTAATTTTTTTGCAGTGGTTGTGGCTACATTTACAACATCCATTCAAAACGTGTTCAGGCATTGTCCAGTGAGGCAACCATGTTCATTGTTGTAGAAGGTTTTCAAAAGGTCCGTTATTTGCTGCACCCAAGAAATTCTGAGAATTAGAATTGTCTGCAAAGATATCAGCTGTATTATAACTTAAACATGACGAACAGATGTTCTTTTGTGGCGCATGTACACATAATTTCAGTTCAAATAATCCTTCCCCCAAAAGGGGAATGGATAATTAGATTATAGCTGTACATGTACTTATTTGTCATCAGGAAACTGAGAGTGTTGTTTCATTGCAGTTCTGCCACCGAACATGAACATCAGCCTCATCCGATAGTGGGCCTAACATTTTGATCCTAACATTTGAGACAGATTTTTCAAGGATCAATTATGCTAGGCCCTCCAACTTGCAAGCTCTGTGCAATGAATATTTCTGGTTTCTCTTGTCAGAAGTTTTGACACACTTTATTTTTGTGCAAATCAGTCATAATTTAACCAAAACTACCCCATATAATTTGAAAGAGAAGCTACACCAACAACTTGTTGAATCAGGGTTGTTTTATCCTCGGTATGGTTGTTGATGAGCCTGGTATCTTGTTCCAGTCTGTATAGGCTTTAAGATGTGGCCATAGTTTTTCTTAATCGCTCTTTGTTAAACACGAACTTGTTGGCAATCAATCAAATAAATCAACAAGCCATTTATTATCTGAGTGCTTTTCAATATTTCTTGAAAGATCTCAAACGTTAAATATCACAAACACATGAAGGAATATCCCAACAACAAAACAGTTAATCACCATCAACAAACAACAATCAATCTAAAACAAAACAAAACAAAACGCCTTATTTAATCTCTTGGAACATTTTAATTCAGTACAAAACTCTTCCAATCATGTATAAGGGTATTTACACATTAGAATTCAATTGAAACATATAACTTAAAATTCAGTTCTGAACACAGATTGTTTACAAAGTTACTTGTATACAACATGACACTGTACAATGAGCAGAATTCTACATGAAATCATTTTAATACAAGGCTATTTTGTATGAAATACATGTAATTCAGTTTCCACACACGTCTGAGAAACTATCTTTCCATCATGAATTTTGTGGAAAATTTATGTCCAAAGATAATCGTTGACGTAGATGCCGACAGCCAGGAGTACTCCAATCAAAGCTGGAAACACAGATTTTGGTTCAGGTTCATTTATTAACAAACCATTTTCATGTTTGTGTTTCTCTGTACAAGCTTCAACCAGTTTTGCATTATGTTACGACCACACCAATACCACGAATCTCCAAACATTCAGGAATAAGGATGCTATGTCTCTCATGTCTTAAATATTTGTAATGTGATTTTGCATTGCCATGCCAATCACACAGAAAGTAAAAAAACCTACAAAAGCAAGACCTGCATTAAGTACATGTACATGCTGTATTGACTTCGCAGTCGAGCTAAAAGGGTTCATAAAATGTCTGAAAATCAAGTTTGTGTCGACAACAATGGCCTTCACAAGCTATTCTCTGCCCAAGACTCAAGTCTCATGGATAGTCTTGCTCTTGGGACAATTTCATTGCAGGAGATGGCAGTGTCACGTGAATAGAAATCTTGGTGCATTGAAGTATGGGGAATTTTTCACATTTAACTATTCGGTTTACTTCCAGCATCTTCAGTAATCCTGAGGTGGCATCAGATACAGAGAGCTTAAGTTCATCCCTACTAGGCTGTGTCAGTCGTTTTACAGATCTTGTGAAAACCAAGACTGGTCAACCAGCAAGGGATTGTACTTCTCCGTCTGGGCTCTTGGCCTGTGGTTTGTAGAATGGATCTCTAGACAGCATCAGGTCCTGCAATTTCTGGTAGGCCTCGCTGTCAGCACGGACTGGATTTCTCTGTGATTGAATACATGAAATTGAACCTGGCTGAGAAGGAGATCTGTGATTAACATCATTCTGAAATCTGTGTGTTGTCACCCGTGTAACTTTCACTCGTGACTTTTATGTGACGGGTTAAGTTTAACTGTTTAAAGTCCTTCACAAAGCAACAATGGATGCCTAAGACAATGTAAGATTTTGAAAAAACCCTGACTTTTAGTAATGATGTAGGCTTGCAACAGACTGCGCTTTCATTGTGTTACCCATAAAATGTTTGCAGTTTGCAGTCCAAAAAACAAAAAACCCTGCTCACCAACTAACATTTGAGACTGTACAGTTGCCAGGTCTCTAATATTTGTCACGTATTGTCTAGTCAGATTGGTTTTCACAGTAAGTGGCAAAATAACCTGAAAAAGGGATGATGAATGACGACAAACTGACAGATTAAATGGAACTGACGTTTCCATCCTAGTAGAGTTGTTTTTCAAAGGCAAAAAGCATTGTGAGAAGATTCTACTTGGAGAACAATGGAGTATTTTTATGTCTCGAAAGTGTCGTCGTTGAAGTGAAAAAGTAGACTTACGCTGAGTGACAGTCTCATGAGTCCTTTCATTGCTGGGTGGGGGGCCAGGTTAGCTAACGTGATCTGGTACTGTAATGCTAAGAGCAAGGACTTTAACCCAGCTTCACCTATCTCATTCCCTACAAGGCAAAAAATAAATAAAACATGAGGGATAACTCAAAACTAAATGCTGGTTCAAATAAAGCACAGAGAACAAATTCCTTTCACTTTCACATTTGCCTGAAGTATGAACCTGCCTTCATATAACTCACACTTTTTTCAAATTATTATTGAATCATCTTTATTCAATACTCAACCGAAATATGCACAAAACATAAAGATGCGATATAAAACCCTGGTCCCAAGTGGAAAATAAATAAATTTAAGTACTCATGGCAGGGCAAAGAGAATAAAGCAGATTTTAAGAATCAGACAAGCACAAACAACCCATTTAGTTACAGCAGCATAGTTCATAAATTGAAGGGAAGAGCAAAATATGTTCATATAGACATGTACACACAATCACCTGTTTTGCAGATTGGCTAAAAGGTCCATATTGATAAGAAGTGGCCCCCCTTTCAATTTAAACAGGAAATTTCTGGTGAAATTAGCCTTGGTTCTGAAGAAAATACTAGCATCTGTACAAGTTGTTAATCCACGATTTTTTACATGATTTTATATATTTTTGTGAATTTTATGATTTTAGGCTTAGCTTTGTATGTAAAAACCAGAGGTGTTATAACAGAAGGCTTTTGGGTCAGTTTCTAGGTAAACTTCTCAAGTCCAGGTACTGTATGCAACATTGGGTGTAGTCCTTGTTTTGTGTAGAAGTGTCAATTTTTGCAAGGTCCTGGTCAAATGTGTTTATGCCGAATAAACAATACCAACATCAACAATTTGAAATTCTAAAAAAAAAAAAAATACAACATGCTTTGACCAGCACTAATGCAGAAAGAGGATCATTATTAATCTTAAGTAAAAGAGACTTTTCAAGATTTGTTCAGATGTTAGCTTTATACCTCAATGATAATAGATTTTATAATTGTCCTGTACTACTCAGAGTGGGGTACTCTTACACCCAACTACTCAATCCATGAACAGGAGCAGCTTTGACTTACTTGACAAGTTAAGATTGATGATGGATCTATTACCAGGGATCCATAGCTGGCCATCAATGGACTCCACTGATTCGGATAGCAAAGGATTGATGGCTTCTACCATATCTGGGGACTGTAGGGGAAACAAAGGCAAATTTTGTCATGAATAATGTTTCTTTCTTGCAAGTATTTAGCAGAGCTGTAACGAATCACTGAGTTTTGTGACTCTAGTTGGGTTGACTTATCTGCTTGCAGTGACTTGATTCAAATCTGGACTTGAGTTGAGTCTCCAGAAATGGCTTCTAGTCTCACTAAGTTGAGTCAATGACTCAAGTCACAACAACTCTGGTATTAACAGTGTTGTAGTCAAGACCATCACAACACCAGACACAAGACCATGCATGAGACCAGACACAAGACCACCCAAAAGACCATGCACAAGACCATGCACAAGACCATACACAAGACCAGACACTAATGTGATTCATAGTTTTTTAATGTTTGGAAGATGAAAAGGAAACTCCAACCACTTCTATGCGCTCTCTTTGACCTTACGGTTCTAGGGAACAGTTTTGTACAGAGTTTCCAAGAATTGCCAGGAAATCCGACTGATTTTTAAGACAGTGAAATCTGTCATTTTGGGCAAAAAACCCTAAGAAAAAAGTGACAAAACAGACTTTGAACCTGGTGGCCAAACTAATGATAAAAAAGTTACATTCTGAAGACTGCCATTCGGAAGACTAGAGTAAAAAACGGAGTTCAGAACGTAATTACCAATTGTTAACATAATGCCTGTTGCTCCAAATGTTTGGATTTCGAGTTCCTTGTACCATGCATGAGCCAGGTACCTGTCTCTATAATAATTCCATAGAGGGCTCAATTCAAATCTAACTTGATACATGCATGTAATTTCTGTAACTGTGGCCCAGTTTGTCTCAGATTTCATTGCAAAAGTCCCTCCCATTACCTCTGATTCGGGCACTGCCCCTCCCTTTTTGTCCTTGGATGACGTGGTCTTCTTGCCTTTGGTAGTCTTGTTGACCGTTTCAGCTACAAGGGAAGCTAGGGTGAGTATGTGGCAGGAATCCAGGGGCCAATTCAAAGGGATTGGAAGGAAGACAGGATGGAAGGAAGGAGAGTGGAAAGGAGCAAGAAAAGTGGACGAGAGATTGGACAACATTTGCAGAGGTACTGCATGCATCATATAGATAGATCTACTATGTCTACCACAACAGAATTTTGCGCAGCGTTGTTTCCAATTGGCTTTTAAATACTACACTGCCAATATATCGCATTTCACATGAAATATAAGTCCATGGGACAGGTTCAAAGGAATTCAAAACAATTTGAGAGGCATCTGCTTCCAATTTTTAGGCCTTACATGTAGGATCCCACACATTTCTCGCATCACAATTCAAAATCAAATTAAACTCAACTAGCCTCCTATTAAATCTAGATATTTTTGTGACTCACATGCAACTCTGCAAGTCCAAATACTGATACATGTGGTTGCTTTTCTTTGGTATCTGAAATAACCCACCAATCACTACTGGTGGCTATCGTGCCTTTGATGTTCACATTTTTTCTTGATAATCTAGTGCAATAAAGCAGTTCACTGGCTTACATGTACATATGTTTTTGTCAACTTTGGTGTCACTAATAAATCTTTTCACAGTGACAGTCAGTGATGTACATGTAGTCAACAGTCACTGAATGTGACACGAGAAGCTCCGTGAATACTTACTACAGGCCCATTCTCTTAAAAACCTTCGACTTGCAAAATGCCCGTCATGTTTTCCCTCCTTAACATTTTCAACAGATATTAACACAAAGTACCGGTAGCTGCAGCGAACTGGTGAGTATCTAGTGAGATTTCTACTGTGATCTACACATGCATGCATGCAATACACACTTAAAGACAAGGACATGGAATAAGCAGATGGAGAGAACAGACAGGGATAGAACTAGTGCCGATGGTATACATTTCACATGCATTTACAGGTACACATGTAAACCAGCAACAGCAAATGAAAATGGAGTTGTCAAAAGCTCATTTTTTCACTAATCCCTGCCACAATTAAGTGGGCATGCATGTGGGTAATTCCAGAAATTAAGGGTCCAAAAGTGTGACATTTTCATGTCCCAGTTAAACCTGACCCTTTTTTATTTGACACAGAAATAGCACCAAAATTGTTTTCAAACTATTACTATTTGTTTGGCAAGTAATTTGCATTAATTCATCACTCTTGGAAATTAGAAAATATGTTCTGAACTTCATGTCAGATGTGACAGGGACAAAAAAAAAGGACCCCTAATTTCTGGAATTACCCGTATGTACATTACCTGTATGTGTGCATACCGGTGTATGATCTCCATACAGGCCTTTGCGAGAATTTTGCATACTTAATTTTGTGAAAACTGATAAATGTTCGATATATCCTTAACCACGTAAAGTCCACAAGTTTAAAGGTTTTTAAAAGCTGTGCTTCCTAAAAGCAAAGAGCTAAGCATGCTCTTTGTAACGGATGTGAAATATTGGTACATACAAATAGTGCGGCAGAAGACCCAGTTTCTTGTACGGTCTCAAACGATATCAATGTTACGCTACTTGTACCTGATGGGCCCAAACAACGCCTCAAAGTTGATTACAAGTATTCTCGCATTCAAATTCAAATAGCTCAAAATCTGATATTTTCCTTTCACACTTTTGACTAGATTTTGACAACACATGTCTCATTTGCTGGTGCTGGGTTCAAAATCATTGATAAAAATGAAACGAATGAATGAAATGCTTGACAATGGATGATGTCTATTGTGTGGAAGGCACAGCAACATGCAATCAGGCACAAAACTAGCAATAATGTACATTAGGTTTCCATGGCAACCATATTGTCAAATGAAACAAAAACAAAAAAAAACACAAAAAAGTTAGGTCCGTCTGTTGCTCTGCCTCCTTTTACATGCACATCTCAGGTTGGTGAAGTTGACTAAATCAAATAATTGTATATCCTAGTTCTTTCAAAATCTTTGAGAAGATTGTAAAGATTTTGTAGTATTGAAGAAGGGGAAAGCCCAGTCATGAATTCACAAGGGGGTCAATGATCCTCGAAGTTAAAAAGAGAAAATAAAGCCAATTTCGATTTGGAATGGCTTGAGAGGTTCATAACAATGATGCCTGTAAATTTACGTATCAAGGAGAGCAGAATGTCATTTTCTTTTGGATAAAATACAATGAACCTGTGATAGTTGGAAGTAATAATGCACCCACACCCTTTACGATAACATGAAGCAAAGAAGAACAGGTTAGAATTCCTACAGGTTACATTTCATGCATAGAGATTAACATGACATGCAAAATCTGCAATAATTACAGGGAATACTACCGGGTAACTATGAATGACCTAAGGTTATTTGAAGATGTACATGCATTCTTTTTATCAGTATTTTCTTTACCGGTATGCATATGCTTGGTATTTTGTGCAATTGAAAGTTGGAAACATGGACTGGACTGACATACATGTACATGTACACTGTAATTATTAACAGAGACATGATGTACATTAATATTGAAACTTCACAATGTACAAGCCCAGTGAAACAGGAACCAGTTTTTGTCAACTTTTAGGTATCAAGAATGCTTTGACGGACCTACAAATGCACTGCATACTGAAACAGTCTCCTGTATTTAAAATCAACTTTTCAAAATTGGAACGACAGCAAAACATGCCTGAATCAAGCATTTTGAATTAATTATGCAAGGTTATACTTTCATAATTTCAAAAATCATTACAAGACCAAAAGCAAAGACAAATTTGTAACGTGAATGTGTACCAACTACCAAATACATGCATGATGGGTGTATTTTAATGATATGTACAGTACATGTACAATGTCAGTTAAAGAATAATTGAGATTATCCACAAATCATGTGAGGCAGAAAGAGGGAAAAGAGTGTCTTTAGAATTGGACAGGTAGAATCAGTCCATGCAGTTTGAAATTTGAAAGAGGAAACAAAACAAGACTGGCAGATCAGAGTTGAATTACATGTACGTCTATCACAACTGGGTACCAGGATTCTGTCCTTGAACTGATAGAATGAACTCTCTGAGGTCCAGCCAGACCTATAAACTGGCTCCATTAATTTGACAGCAATTCGAGTGCTGAAGGAGCTTATTTGGAGAATTGGGGAGGGGGGGGCGTATTTAATCATTTTAATGGAGGAATTGCCTCCAGTTATTTTTGCCCCTTCAAGATACTGATAAAGAGCAGTACATGTAAAATGGATTTTCATGAATAATACATGTACATTACAGAGATAAACAAATATGTACTACTCTTTACTTGATGAGAGAGGGCATGCAGGGTTACCATGGCAATGGTTGGGAAAGCTGGTGACAATGGAAGCATCACTAAAGTTTTGTGTGACTTCACAAAAAACTATTCCATTTTCATCTATATTTCAGGGCTGTTCTCTTAGCTACATGTGAGCTTTATGCTGAGTGCAGAATTTTTTTGGAAGTTGTAATTGCTTTGTTTATAATTTGATTTTAGACTCAGAAAAAAAATCTAGGGAGAAGTGATGCAGTATGACAGTCTTTGTTCTGAAAAAAAAACAACCCCCCAAAAAGAAAAGAATTGAAAGCTCTCCATACTTTCCCAAACAGATTTTGATTTCTTTGGTCAAAGGCCGTTCACTCCATTCTTTGAAAAGAAACAAAACTCTGTACAACTCCCACTACATGTACTTGTAACTATGCTAAATCCCAGCCTACAGGGAACTATGCTACATGCAAAGCCCAGCCTACCTTAACTTTCAGCTAAATTTCTCCCAAATGTTGGTGGAATATGAACATGCATGGATGACTGAATGACACAAATCCCCATCTCCAAAACTCCCCTCACAAAAGTTGTTAAAAAGAATGTTGATTTCATCATGCAACAGATTTAAAAAAAAAAGGAAAGCTGTCTGAACCTCTGGAACCGTGCCGTGAAGTATCTGGTACAGTGATGTTGAACCAAGGAAACCAACAGTAAAGGAGGAAAACACAAACAAAAAGGGAAGAAGTTGAAACAGTTAGTTATCTAAATCAAGCAGGTTAAGGTCTTATTAAGGACGCATATCAAATGATTTTCAGTATGAAATTATGGGCTGTTGTGTAAGTTACATTTGTCATTTTTGTTAGCTGTACTTATAAAACTTGCAATTGAAACAGCTTGAAATGCGAATTCAATCTGTACTCAAAGCTATCCATTAAAAACTGAAACTGGTTTCTGAAAAGCATGACAAAAACATTTCCAACATACAAGGAAAGCAAGCTTTGTTTCTGCATAAGTCAATACATGAGACAACTGCAACATGACTGGTTAATGGGATGATGTACATGTGTAAACCCTTCTTTTTTCCTTTTTTTTGGTCAGACAAAAGAAAAACAACTCAGAAATGTGGAACTTTTGGGGTTCATACTTAGTCCTACAATAGATGACCGACTTCCACCTGCAGAAGAGGGATGTAGCAAATAAGGTCAAAGGGTCAGGAAGTTTAAACTGCTTCTGATGACATCACAGACCCTCCAGTTCGCTCAGAGGGTAAGAATTAGTACAGTACAGAATATGCATCGCCCATAGCATCACACTATAGTGGTGCATACGACCAAAAACTGCATTTCTGCCCATTACTGAATTAGTTGTACAATGTACATGCCTTGTAGTTGGAATAAATTCCACTAACAGTTTGGAAAGAATAGTAGATGCTATGGCAAAGCCTGAAGAAACTTACTGGAATGCGGAAATGAAGTCACAACAGTACATATTACTTCTGTATATACATGTACAGTGTACTTGAATAACTACATGTATTTTTCCAGGTCAAGTGAACGGTGTTCAAAGCAAATGAGGCCAACAGACATAAAGCTGTGCAGGTGTGTGAGTGAGGCGTGCATGTCTGTTAGGGTTTTGTGCGAAAATGCATGTTAGCTAGGAAACTGCTGGTTGAAGGCAAGCAACATAACGGTGCGTTATATCACCCTGTCATTAACCCTGGGAGAGAACATGTTTCAGTGCCCAGACCAGAATGGTAGACATTGCCTCGCTCATGTGTATAAATACAACTGTACATGTACTAGGTGTGTCTTTTTATTTGTCAAGTCTCGAAGAAAACACAGAAAGGACACACAGGTAATCACATAGCATTTTACACAGAAAGGACACACAGGTAACCACATAGCATTTTACACAGAAAGGACACACAGGTAATCACATAGCATTTTACACAGAAAGGACACACAGGTAACCACATAGCATTTTACATAGAAAGGACACACAGGTAACCACATAGCATTTTACACAGAAAGGACACACAGGTAACCACAAAGCATTTTACACAGAAAGGACACACAGGTAACCACATAGCATTTTACACAGACAGGACACACAGGTAACCACATAGCATTTTACACCATATTTTTTGGTTTTTTATGCATTGCTGGTATACATTATATTTTGCACCTTTTTACCTTGGTTTCTTCCAGGCACTATTTACATGTACACAATGTATGCTTTTGCGCTAAAATATGAAGCTGTAGCTTTGTAAATGTTTCTGCCTGCAAATTGGTTCATAAACTTCACTTTTTTTTCAAAAAGGATAATTCATGTTTATCAAACATCTCCAAATACAGTTAAACATAACAATATTGATTTGGTAATTACATGTAAGAAAGAAATTCTACCCCCCATGCATTTTTAGACTGCTAACAGCAAGACATCCTTATACTGCATACAATGTACATAAACATACAGGTTTATTGGTGAGACTATCCAGAAAGACAGTCTTTGACCTTTTTAATTTCAAGAACTGACAAAAAAAGACCACAGCACTTGCAATACATGTACCTGTAAGACATGTGCATAAACACTTCCAATGAGAAATCTTTATGCTCACAAATGGTTAGTTTCACTCCTTGGGGTTTTTTTTTGTTTGGTTGTTGCTGATGATTGGACTGGACAGAGACAAATGCACAGCAATGTCATTGGATTCTCATCGTTAACAATGAGCCACTGTTTCTCCCAACAAATATAAGCCAAAGTCTCAGGTCCACAAAGCCGTCTTAGTTTAAAAGAAAAAAAAATAATGGCTTAGCGGATGGTGACTCAGAAATCAATAAGCTGAAAACATATCAGTTGCAATGTACATATACAGGTACTCTGCACTGCAGTGCAGCAGATTGGCTGTTTGTGTTAAAGCAAACTTTCTTGCACTTATATAACGGCTCTGTGAAACTGAGTCTTTGAGAGCAGGTGCAGTTTATTTACCAGCCATGACAGCTTTTGCCCCTGTGAAAGGAAGGAAAGGAAAGAAGACAAAAAAAAGAAACAAGGAACTATTGTATACAGTTAGAAAATTGGACACTTCAGCAATTGGTAGCATTCCAATTTAAGCTCTGTTGCAGTTTGTGGGAAAACCTTTAAAAAGTCAAACCAAAGTTATGACAAATGCAAAGTCCACAATTGAGTTTACACATTTTCCGGAATGAAAAAAAACCTACAAAAATAACTGACATTGAAATATGCCTTGTTGTTGAATAAGTGTTGAACTTACATGTACGTCAATTGTCAAAACAGAAAAACTACAAATTTGTTGTGTGCTCTGTTCTCAACGGTGGTCATTTTTTAACAAAACTCACTCTGCATCTGAATTCCTACAAGAAATGTTTGTCATTCTTGCGTTTATGCTCTGATGAGTGCAAGTCGAAAAGTACTTCAGTGTGCCTTCTTCGAAACGTTTGTGCTTAAAAGCATGGGCTTTATAAATTCTTAATTCCTTTACTTTGCAAAATGGCATCCTTCTGGGCATGAATTCTTCAAATCTGCATTAAATACCAATAGTCTGTTTTCCTTTAACACGTAACATTGAGATCATTACAAATGAGTCAAGCATTATACTTTTGTCAAGAAAAACTCTCTTCTTTAAGGCGTATTTTAGTGATAAAGAATACAAAAAAAGAAACAAAACTTTAGTGATTGAGGAGAATACTTTAGCTAAATCAAAAAACAAAAACTTTGGTTTACCCATAGGGTGTGATCCTGTTCCACAGATGTATCGCAGGGGAGAAAATCTACAGAGGTTTAATCTAACTGACTACAGGTGTAGACAAAATGCACAACCACCAAAATCCTATGTGCTTTAAAAGTTACAGAATGCAGTCCTTGTGTAGAGACAGGAATGATAAATGGCTTTACAAAATAGCTACATGTACATGGTACAAATTTCCATGTGTATAAACACCAATGAGTACTTTCATGGCGGAAGGATCCAACAATAAACACCTTGGTTCATGTTTATTGGATACCAATCCAATGTAGTTGTGTGGTATCTTTCATAAGCAAGGCACAATGACCTATATTTTCCTACATGTATCCATTATACCCATACCAGTACATCTTGTTCTCAATGTATACAACCCTTTTTTAATGGCATTTGGGGGGTAGTTGTTGCATTGGTATGTGGTGCATGTGCGGTTTTCCATGTCTTCCGTAATCAGTTCCAAAGCTTACTAAGCTATCAAATTTGCAACGGAAACTTGAAAGCAAAAGGACTTGATGAAAAAACGAAATAATGTATACAATGTTCAGTGTACACTTTGTCTTACCCACTGTTAAAAAACAATTGCTTGTCCGCACTGAAGCAATGAATGAAAGATTGACTTGACCGACCATAAAGAGCATAAAAGATGGCCACCAACACGTTTAGCATTGTAACGATTTTCTGTCAGGATTACAAGTAGTTCCAGGAGTTTGAATCTTTCAACCTCCCAGTGTGGAGGAGTATACATGTAAACCACAAGCCATATCGTCACTCCTGCTCCCTACAAATCATGCAAACATGGCAAACAAATTGTATGCAACGTCATTTGTGGGTTTTGTTCCAACCCCTGCTATGTACTTGCACAACCCACGTTTGCATCATGCTTAATTGGACACAATGAAGCCACAAGAACAGGTCAATGAATAAATCATTTTAAGAAAAGTGGAAAGCCCCACACACGTGACGTTATCTCCATAATTTTCTCAGAAGTGGGCATGCTGCCCACGATGTACACTTCATCAATTTCCAAAATTGAAATTAAAAATAATCATAAGATATTCAAGTTGACAAAGCATACAATTCATTACCATACACTGTTCAATCTCTCTACCGGCTATTCCAATGCTATACTATGAGTGCTTGCTAACTCTACACACTACTTCCTACAATCCTCAAAGTCTGTGCCAGTTCCGCATTCTTATCTTCCCAGGAAATCTTTCAAACTCATCCATATTCAGGTGCAGACATTAAACCCACAAACTGGAGATAAAAGCCCACACACCAAGCATGAATGGAAATCAATTCCTTGAATGAAAAACCCAAAACCAGTGTGCTGAATTTCAAACTTGTGTGCTCTTTATCATGAGTGGGCAATAACCTCCAGTTTTGTGTGCCAGTACATGAAGCTTCTACAATTATTTTCACTTCAAGAATCATGAAAAGAATACCACACATTTTGGCAAAATGCTATCTAAAGTGCAGCTACAAGGGTGCTCAATTCTACAATAAAGCTCAACAAGAAGTTTACTGATGTGAATCAAGGATTTGCAAGATACTAGTATGAAGTAGAAAGGTGGGCTAAAGACTTTACAACTACACTAGGGCTAAGAGGGTCTGGGAAGAACAAGACATATGAATTCTGTCAGAATTCTGTTATGCTCCAAATTGTTGAATGATTTATATTCTGCCAAAAGTTTACAGATCCAAGAAAATTTGCAAAATCCACATAACTTGATCTCTATTTTTATTTTGTAAATAATTTCCAAAACTTTTTAGACTCCGAAAGAAATGACAGTTGGTGATATTTCAAATCAACACATCGAAGCACAGTTTTATTAAAAAGCAGGAAAGATCCCTGAATAAAGCTAAAATGGGCAAAACATTTGAACCATTTCAATCACATACAGTGTCTGTACTGGTTTTCAATCATATATGTACTGGTATATTCAATACAAGGATTAACGCAATGTCAACAACAGGTATTTTTACAAAAGAGAGGCCATGAAATATACACAACTCAAAAAAAGTTAAGGACCACTGTTTATTTTGTAATTTGACTTTTCCTGAAACTGTCCAATTTGAGAAAATGCACATTTGATGTTTTGAAACATTTTAAACAAATTTTCTTCCCAGGAGAACACCATCTAGACAAACAAAAAATGGAAGAACTAGACCCCACTCATTGCTTGGAAAAAAAGTTAAGAAAAAGTGGTCCTGAACTTTTTTTAGTGTATATACCCACATTGTAGTGTGTCAGGGAATTTCAAGGTATACATATAAAATATGTCTTCAACACTGGCATTCTTCTTTTTAAATTTTGAAGTTACATGTTGTACATGTAACTGACCCTTCTTGTACTGTTTCATATTTACTGAATATAGTATCATTATCTTCTTCATTGATAGACTTATGTTAAAGGTTCAGTAAATAAAATGAATGAGTGATATGAGCCAATCCCATGTTACATTTGTAATAGTCACCATCTGGTTTATACTCTAGGAGAGCAAGAAAGCAAAGCCAACTTGTCTTCACAAAACACTGGCAGTGAAATTTGCTCAAGCTGCAATCAGCGTTGTAATGACTCTAGTCAATGACTGGACTCCAGTCTGACTTGAGTGACTTTTTTGGCCACTTGACTTGACTCAAGTCACTGCAAGCAAATGACTCCACTTGACTCAAGTCCTTCATCAAAGGACCTGCCTTGAGTGAAGGTTACTGTAATAAGACTCAATCCCAAAAGTAAAAACAAACTTCCTTTTGGAAAAATATTTGCAATGACTAATAGCGCTAGACAATAACGTTTATGTCATGTGTTATCATCATGAAGAGTAAGACGTGGTACATGTTGAAACCCAGAGGTGAACACACAAATGCCAAAATACCACTTTCATTTTTGTTTTCATTTATCCTACTGTACTGTGTTCAAATACTGGTGACTCAAACTGACTTGAGCTAAACACTTAACTTCACTCCGCTTTTTTGCCTTATTACTGGACTTAACCTGACTCGGTCACAACTCGGGTTGCAATGTGCTAACCTCTGCAAATTTGCTGCAGGAACATGTAAGCTGACGTCATAATCCCATGTTCCTGTTAAACAGCATCGAGTATGAACTAACCTTTTATAGTGAATTCTACCCAACCTGCTTAGCTTTGGCCATTCTAGACAAAGACATCATGTTTGAACCATTAGAAGTTTATCGTGAATTACAGTCATCTTATAAAACTCATGAACAACTTGAAGGTAACACAGACATATTCACCATTGCAAACAAATGTTGGTACAACACATGGAACTGTGACCTGTGACAAACAATCAGATATGAACTTCACACACACATTTGTAATGAAGTGACAAGGTTTCAATGACAAAACTGACACCACTTACCCTTTTTCCATTTGTCATCTTTCTTGGTTCCACCCTTAGCACCTTCCTCTTTGTCTTTCTTGTTGTCCTGTCATCGGACAATAAAAGGCAAAATGTAAACAAGAGTAAACTTCAAAAGGGAATGTGAAATAAAGAAATGAGCAGTCAGGTTGGTGAAGTGCTGAGTTTCCTTGCCATTCACATGGAGTGGGTTTTCAGTCCTTACTAAATATTATTCCTGTATTTTCCTCCCACTTCTAAAACTGAAATCTCTCTCTAGATTTCCTCAAACCTCAGAGATAACGTATAGATCTACGTACCTTTGAGAAACCCTTGGTTTTACAATCAGAAAGAATGAATATAAAGACATTTCAAACAAACAAGGGAACACAACCAAAGTAACTTAAAAGTTTGAGTAGTAAATAATATTAAAAAACTGCTCTGCTTGGCAAAGCCACAAGAACCTGGTTCCAAAGTGATTGTGAATGGTTTCAAACAGTTTAATGCACCTTTACCAAAATGTGAGTAAACCTTTATTGTAGCAGAAATTCATAAATGTGGGATTTCTTTGCATTGTCAAGATGTAGCACAAAGGAGACAAGGAGAAATGAAGGAGAGGAAAAGAAAATTTACAGAAGTAAAGCAAAATAAAAAAAGATAGGCGAAAAGATTTAAGAAATTGCTTCTCCAAACATGACTTCTTGAAGTACGGCTCTGAAATGAAGTAAATCAGAACCGCAAAGCTTGTGATTCCACCGCAACATTTGTTGGTAAACAGGGTATTCATAGACTCCAACAGAGTCAGCTAACAATTGTGTCTGGGAACCAAACTGACTAACTATTCTTAAGACAAATGGATGAAGAAAGTCAATCATTTCTTGACTAGAACATTAGGGTGTAAAAATCAAAGGCATGTATTAAGCTCCATGTTAACTTGTTTGGCAAGCATGCTGGGTTTTAAATGAGGTTAGCTCTAAAAAACTTCATGTGAAAAGGAGAGTTCAGTGCCAATTTGAGCTGCAGTTATTGAGTATTTAGACAATTGATTGTCACTGTTGTATATGTATAGTTCTGATTGAGTGCATACGAGTACAAATGATTTACCTGAATAACAGTTACAATGCAATTATACACACCAATTTCACCAATTTTATACATACTGCTGAACAGAAAATAGATCAACATGTAAGCAAGCAAGAAGAACATCTATCTGAATATTAATAGGGAAGTTTTTGGGAAACAAAGGGTGCACGGTATTGAAGCAGTAAACCTGTTGATAAAGGTAAATGAAAGCTAGGGGTTGATTAGTAGAAGCCTTGAAGATTGAGATTTCTCCAAAACCTACAACTTTTATCAGAGGCAAAGCATGTTGTTAATGACTGAAGGCTAACATGATCATTTGCGCTTGGTTTGAAGTTTTTAAGAACCCGAGAACTGTGGCCATTACTCAGGTTGTTCACAAAATTTGACTCGTTGAATTACAAGCCCTGTTAATACTGAATTTTTGTCTTTCTACAGGTACATGTACCGATATACAAGCCTGTGGCTGCTTCAATATTCCGACAGCTTATGGCTCTTTTCTTTGAAACTGAAAAACTTCACTTCTCCCAATAAAGATAAAATTGTGGGGGATTTCAAATTGCTTCCAAAAGTGAGCACTCTACAATGTTGTTGCAGCCGAAGGTGAAGTTACAGCTGGCTCCCTGGACAAAATTGGGTTTTACAAAAACTGCATAGGTTTGTTGTGTTTAGTTATAAAGGTACAGTGTATATACATTGTACATGTATCTCGCTTGGCGTTTTTGTACCAACAATTGTTAATTCCTATATAAAAGAATTTCATTGGGTGTATTCTACCACTCTCATCTGAACTTCAGACGAACCATTCAATGACAATAATTTGGTAGGCTTGTTTCTAGAGACAAGCAAATGACCATGAGCCTAAAAATAAACCAGCCAGCATTATGAAGATACATCCAGGTATCTATGCTATACCAAACATTTAGTCTGTTGTAAGTAAAAATCTTTGCTTGATTTGGTCACAGCAATGTTCAGCATTTGACATGGAAGCACTGTAGTCAGCTTGGGCCATCCAAATGGGCATCTATCAATGCAGAGATTTACCAATGCTGGTCATGAACACTGAAAAACTACGATGGACAAGGTCAAAGGGTACCAAAACACAGCTCCACACCATCTTTCAGGAAATAAAAACAATTGGCTGCTTTTGCGGGCTCAGCTAGCAGACACCAAGTGAGCAGTTTAATTATAAATATTGCCAATGTTTGCATCAAATTACGTGTACATGTACAACCACACAACAGAGCTTCAATGACAACCACCTACTGGTACACTGCTGCTGATTGGTTAAGCATCCAATTTTAACAATGATCTTGATTGGACGATTTGTCACAGCACAGCCATATGGTCAGCAATGACTGATGGGTAAAGAGGCACAATTTCAATTAAAACACAAAGCCTTTTACAGGTCATTGTAGCAAAACACAGCCAAATGGCAGACGCTCACTGCTGAGATGAAAGGCTTCATTGCCCAACAAGACAGGCTCAACCGTTATTACACACAGCTTTTTTATACTTTCAGGTATGCCAATACCGATTGGGTAAAACTCAAGCAGCCAAATGAAACACAGCCACTGATTGGAGGAATTTACCATCATCACTACCGTCTTAGCTCCCTTCCCAGCATCCTCCTTCTCATTTTTCTTCTCATGCTTATTATCCTGTTCACAATTTGGACAGAAAAACTCAAGATTGAAATAGCCTGAGGAAGAAATGAAATACCTGGCTGAAAACAAGCAGCCTATTACAGTTGGAGAAACATACAATACAGGAGCAAAGATTACATAACACCAGTACATACATGTACATGTACACATAGCTCAAATTCAGAGCATTCAAAAGGAAAGAAATAAAAGGAATTACAAAATGTAGGCAGTAATATAAACATAGCATCCTTTCACTTTACCTATATGACAGGTGTTCCTCCTAAGACAAACTGTCAAGAGATAACCCTAAAGGGCTGGGGAGGCAGGAGAATGGTCCAGCATTGTTCTAGAAACCATCTGGTAACTACCCACATCACCAGTCTACGGGGCTTAATTACACAGTGAATGGTACAGGATATTCTGAGAACCCTGCTACATTCAGAAACTTGAGTAGTGTCTCAAAGCTACTGGTATTAGGTCTCATTAAGGAATGACATCCTAGACTGTCCAGCATGACTGATCACTTCCTCCTTGCGTCTTTCATTTTTCCTGTGAAGTACTACTATTACTATGAAGAGTCAGGAAATGAAGGTCTTAATGAGTGTATTCCAGCATCATCTTAAGATTCTCTACAGTGAAATCACCACCAGAATGCTCAAAGATACTTGCCGTCATGGCCGTACCACAATTTTGTATGGGCAGAAAACCTTCACCACCATCATCCAAACAATCGATAGGCCCGTGGATATACCAGTATATGACAATCTAATAGAAACTGACCTTTTTCTTAGAGGATTTGTCTCGTTTTTTATCTCCTTTGTCAAGAATGCTTCCACTGCGAACACTTCCAGGCCTGTCCTTAGACTCCGCCCTTCTGGAGGGGGGTGGCTGAAATAAACCAAAATGTCAATGTTGGGTAACACTAAGAGAATTCCTTCCACTTGAAATTGGGGTCAACACAGGTACAATTAGGATTAGGGGCTTGACAGCTACTTCACTTGTACATTTACCCGCATGTTGTGTCTCAGAATAGGGCATCTGATTGTTGAAGGTTGAAATGGGTGTTCACTGTCTGTATTTAATTAGTGTTAGTGTAGATTACATGTACTCTTGAATTTAGTTGGATCTTGCCTTATCCCATTAACTAAAAAGTTGATTTTATTTGTAGATTTTAACACCAAAAATTGACCTCCACTGTTTGTACATGTACATGTATGAATCTAAGAATGTAAGCAAAAACTGAATAAAACGTCCATTAAGGATGCTGTTGCAGTTGGTTGGTACGCACCGACTTGCCGGTGCCTCTGTCAGGAGAACCCTTATCACTATGTAGCTTTCGCCTCTCGACTACCTCCTCGTGAGTGAGTGGAAATCGGGACAACACATCGCCGAACTTAACTGCTCCTTTGTCTGTTATCTTGTTGCTTGCCAAGGAAAGGCAAAGCAGGACCCTGTTCATGCGAAGACCCTGAAAAAAGACGAAAGTAAGCCAAACTCTCTTGATTCAGTTGATGCTGCATCCAGTGGTAATAACCTCAAACAATAACTGTTACCATGTATGAATGCTGCTTACGATGGAGCAACCAACTGACTTGTACAAGTCTAGTCACCAAAATAGTTGTGTAACAACATCTAATGCCACTAGTCAGGTTCCTTTAGTACACAAAATTTTGCAAACCAGATGGAATCATTCTGAGGCTTTCAAAAATCTTACTTTCATCTCTATCTCTGGCCTAAGCTTTGAGAATGAAACCAGCAAAAAGCATCTCCATTTACAGCTACAGAAACTTTCAATTTGCTGAAGTGAGGCCAAGCATATTATAAACCAAATGGAGAGTCAAGACAAGCTTTAGAAAATGGCCAAACACTGGAAAATATTAATGCACCTTTCCTAAGAGTGGGACGTTCTGTAAGTATCGGGAATGCACAAAGTTTCCCAAACCTACTGTTACCTTGACAATTGCCTCGGTGCCCACATCGGTCAACTTGTTATGGCTAAGGTTGAGTGAGATAAGATTCTTGTTGCAGGTTGTGACCGTGGACAGTGCTGCCCCGATGCCTGATGCCCCCCTGTCAGTTATGTCATTATGGCGTAAAGACAGGTTGACAATTCTGATGGAATATGGCATAAAATATTGTGAGAAGTTTACTAGTGTTAGGAGACAATTTAAGCCATCTAAAGAAATAAATTTGTTTCTCAAGCGGGTTTTTTTTGGAAGGGAGAAGGCACCTTTTTTTTTCAAAATGGTGTCTATTCCCAAGACGACAGATGGAGTTTATTGACTCCTGCTGACACATCTGTGTCTGGAGGTGCTTTCAACCCATAACAGATCTTCAACCTGTATTCATTCATAGCTACAATTAGTTATAAATGCCTGTTTTTCCAACAGTCAGATTTCACAAAGAACACACATGACCACCAAAATGTTAGGGGAGCAACATTCTGCCCCATCCTGGCTGTGAAATGGCTGTGCCATTCTTAAAGTCCTTCAAGAAATGAACTTAAATCAACTTACAGACTATCCTCTCCAATAAGACATGCCCATGGCTCTTCAGCAATTGGATTGCCTTCGATGGAAACATTTCTGTAACAACCAGGAAGGATAGAATCACTGGCAACAATGCTAAAGACACAGAAACCTTTCACATTCGGCTCTTGAACTCTAAGATTAATCTTCTTGAAAAAAGCCATTCCTCTGAATGTCTGGACCCACTAATAGCACAGACATAGCACAGACAAATCTGATGAAGGTCTGACCATTCTACTAGTTCGATTGTCACTTACTTTAGGTTTGGACACTGGGGGAAAAATGAGGCCAAATCTCTCAAAGTCTTATCAGTCAATCCTGCATTCCAAAAACTACAAAATCAAACAAAATATTAAGAATAATCAGTGATTATCAATCAAAGACTTCTTGAATGGACTAACTAAGAGATTGATTGAAACAGTTGTCCAAACTATAGAAAGTTCCGCATGTAAACCCTTAGGTGTCCAAAGAAACGGAGAAGTGAGAACGTTCCCTCTCTTTGTGATTTCTGATATTACTGATGCTTTGACATCAATATCACAAAAGCTGGATAAACCATTCTTGCAAACTGTTCAATAGTCAATACAAAAAGTAACATAATCAAAGGAACACATTTTTTTTTACTTTTTTTCACTGAAAGCAGCTGAGGATTAATGTGCACTCAATCTGAATGTCTCCTTGAAGAATGTAGAAACCAGAGTGTCTTTCAGATTCTATTCAAGGGAAATAACCAGGTTCTTTGGAAATCATGTACACTCACTTTATAGTGTTCAGCTTTTCGATTGTTGGGAAGCAGTTTCTAAAAATATCGACCATCATATCGTCTACCTTCCAGCCTACATGGAGAAGAAAAACAAAACAAAACACTGCATCAAAGCTGATGTGGATAAATCAAAACA